CGCTACTAGGAGCAAAGGGCATCGCTACCAGGAGCAAGGACGCTACTAGGGGCTCCTGGCCTTACTACTAGGAACAAGGACGCTACTAGGAGCACTGTTAGACATTTGTTTTCCGCTCAGCGCTTCTGGTCGCTTCCCGAGCCGCGAGCTCACCGCAGATGGAGATGATGCAGCTCACCAAAGAAATGCCAGGCCGACAAGCACAATGGCTCACAATTTTGTGCTAGCAAAGAGAAGCAACCAAACATATTTTGATGTTTTGTAACTCGCTACGGGCCACTATGCAGCACTCAGGCATTTTGGTCCTTTGATTCAATGCCATGTGTGTTACACAAACTTAACTTCATGTTGCAAGGCAAAGCCAGCACTGTAGGTACTTTTTGATAACTATACTCGTCCTGATTACACATACCAAAATTCATAACCTAGCGGTAGCTCAGCCTGGAAATGTCCTATTTGGCGTTGGTAGCACAGAGATAGGTCCGTGAGGTTGTGATTTGCTAGGGTCCTTAGAGAGGCCTACCAACACTAATGGAAAGTGTCACCGTTTCGGTCAGCAGCTTGCTGCAGGTTTGTTGAACACGCCTGCAAAAGTGCCTCGGCAAGCGAATACATGTTTTGATCCCTATGAGGCTATGAGTTGGACATAGAATCTTAGAGTGGAATATGTACAGATGGCATCCCATCAACAGGGAGGCGGGATATACCAAACGGAGCGTCAATTCCTCCAAGCATTGAGAGGGAACCTATTGATTTTGAACAACTCCACCTCCTTGAAGGCATTCAAAGTTCCGCCCCATGTTTAGACATGGGTTTTCATGTGGAATTGATTGGCTGATATTGGACGTTGTTCCTGCCATTGGGTGGATTCATCGGATCCCGAGCACCATCGCTTTTGTGAAGCAGTTAAAAGTACACAGGATGCTACATATGACAATTCAAGAACTTGCCAATTTGCCACACAACTCCCTTGGGCCATGCATTGCCGATGCATACAGGTTAGCCCACTCACATAGAATTGGTTTGCTTCATTGTTTCCTGCATGCTGGTGGCAAAAGCACCGGTTCTCTATTGCTAGTGTTTGCCCGACCCGCTTTACTTGGGTTTCATTCAGAAACTATGTTGTCCTCAAATCTGATGGCTCCCATCCATACACAAGAACTCACACCAAGTCTTTCAATCATAAATCAGGTTCTCCTTCTCAAATTTATTCAAGTCATTCTTTGTGGGCCAAGAAGTAGCTTGAATGGTGCTGAACGCATCTCGTGCCCAAACTGGCTGCAGTGACCCAATGCCCCCAAGAATATACACTCCCGTCAGAAAGTCTGGGCGGCCTAGACGAGTCGAGCATTGACCTCACACACTTCGGTGATCCTCCCCCCCTTGC